GGGGGCGCATCACAAGTCCAAATCCTTGATCCGGGGCCACAAGAGCTGTCACGTCTGCGAGCTGGTTCAGTAACGACATCAGCCACGAGGAGCAAAACCACAAGTGGTGACACAGGCCCCACCGCCGGCCCGCTCGCCCTGGGTCGGGGTCATGCCGGTTCCTCCTGTTACCATTTTTCATTTTGTTTCTACTGGGACGTCTTCCAGGTAGCAAACTAGGCTCTCCACGACAAGGTGCCCGTACTTTTCATCCTACGTTAGAGACGAGCCATAACGCTGCTTTACACTCAAACGCCTTCCGCTTATCTACACGCGTGGCCTCTTCACAGAAGGGCCGGCCTCAGCTTTGCCGTCACCCGAGGGCTGGAAGGAGACCCACTGTCCCCATAAAGAGCTAACGTCCGTGCAGAGGACACCCAGCTCACAGCTGCCTGACTCCAGCCGTCAGCCTGAAACGGAAACTGAACGTTACGCCCCCCACGCAGGGCCCATCAGAGCCCCGCCCGCCTTCCGCCTTTCGGGAGGGAGGGGCGAGGGAGGGGCGAGAGGACAGAGGAGAGAGCGGGAGACCCTGCTGGGTTCCAGGCGCCGCCATGGGGCTCGGCTGCTGCTGGACGGCCCCCACTCCTCGGTCCGGTGCAGCCCGGCAAGGAGGCGTGATGCCATGACGTGGGGAAACAACAACAAGGAAAGGGAATCAGACCCCAGGTCAAGACTGATCAGAACCCAGAGCGCGCCCATCATTTAAACAAACGATCTGTGCTGCACCAGCAACACAGCTGCACAGCCTAACGGGCCCACTGAGCATCTGCGCGGAGCGCGGCCACGGCCTGGGGGGGCCGGAGGGGCAGGCACGACCTCCTGGGGGGCACCGGCCTAGGACAGTCCTCGGGAGGCAACAGGCTTGCATCCCAATGAGCTCGCCCACCCCAGGAGGAAGTGAGCCCTCCAGAGCCGGCCCCCTCCCCACTGCAGCCCCCCCATTCCCACTCTGCATCTCGCCCCTTTGTCCTCTGCCAGCTGGGGGCTTCCAGCTTCTCAGGCTAAACCCGTCCTGGCAACGATTCCAGGACGTGGCTCAGCTGTGCAGGACAGATGTAGGAATTGGGACCCGTGGGCATCAGGACACAGGTGGCGGACAGGACCGTCGGTGGCTGGCCATGCCGCCCCAGCAGAACGAGCCCCAGGGGCACCAACCTTCGGCCTCCGCGGGGTCTGGGGCCTCAGCACTTTCCCTCGCTCCACAGAGTCACTGGGTTCAAGGCCCAGGCCCCCCCCCGGGTGGGTGTGGCCCCCTCCTCCCTGCCAGGGACAGAGGAAGGGCCGCTAGAGCGAGCTCTGAGCTGTGAGCAGGTCCCACAGCCGCTCAAGGCCCTGGCCGGTCAAATGTGCATGAACTGGACGTCAGATGTACTGAGGGTGGGTGCCGTTCTGAGGGGGCCCATCAGATCCCAAAGGGGTCTGTGCCCCAAAGGTGAAGAGCTGCTGCACCCCCTCCAGGGTGACGTCCACTCGACCAGCATGGGGGGGACCGCCCACTGCATGTCATCGCCCCGCCGACTTCAACTCACCCTGCTCTCCCGCAAAAGTGTAATCAGAGAGGAAAGGCGCTGAGCTCAGGGTAAACGCACAGGAAAAGGCAACGGGAGACACGACCCCTGCCCTGAGCTCGCCCCGGCCCAGCCCCTTGGCCCCATTATCCAAAGGCTGCAACACGAGGGAGGTCCTGCAGTTGTAATCTGTTTCCTTAATTTCTTCCAATCACATCATGCCTTCCACACCACCTAATGCAAGCATTTCCTACACAAAGTTATTCTGTTGATATCAACTTAAAAGCCAAGAAAGAACGACTAAAGGGAAAATGCCCAGCACCGAGACCGCTAAGGTCTACGGCCCCGAGCGTTATTGGGTCTCACGTGGAAAGAAGCCCCGACACACAACCTTCCAGAGACAAAACAACACGGCACCTTCCCTTCAGTCCACACCCACAGGCCTCGAGGTAGGGGGACCCAGGCACGGTCACAGGGCCAGGTGTCTGAACACCCGCCCTGCCCCGCGCCAGGGGAGGCCTCACCTAAACTCTCTCATTAAGAAGCCCGACGCCACGCAGACCCCTGCTCCCTCCTCAGACCCTGCACGAGCCAGGACCCTTCTAGAATAGCCAGAGCCGCCCAGGAGCCCTGGGCGCTGGCCGTGCCACCCCGGCAGAAGGGCAGGAGCTCCGGAACCAGGACCCAGGAGTGCGGCAGGCTGCGTGGACACCTCCGTGCCCACGTCCAGAGTGAAATCCCTACCCACCCGCGGAACGCACACAGAAGTGGCAGTTCACCCGCTTGTCTGCCTTCTAGCAAGTCCAGAGCTGCCACCTACAGAGCGAGAGCAAGCTGGCCGCCAACTCTCCCCACCACCAGCAGGCCCTGCGCCCGCACCCACGCTTCACAGAAGTGGTCAGTGTGACTGCGAGGGACCCAGGGGTCAAGAGCCCTAACAGTGGGCACACCTCCTCGGTGAAGAAGCACCCTCATCCAAAGAGAGGTCAGGCCCGTGGCCTCACGGCCTGGGAGGAGGTGATCTCTAGGAGGACAGAACAGGTCTCCAGGGGCAGAAACAGATCCCGCGAAGAAGGTGTCGCGGGGGAGGCAGGGGCCGCGCGCTGTCTCTCGCTCGGGATCTCTGGATGATGAGATTCAGAGTGATTTGGGTTTGTTCCCACTTTGGCCTTCTCTGAGGTTCCCAAATTTGTGCATGAACCAAAAAAATTCAAGGGGGAGAATGGAAAAAATTGCTGTGGTAGGAAACCACACTGCTCCAGGGGCCAGACAGGACACCTACGAACCTGCCCTCAGCTGCCCTCCCGCAGACCCCACAGGGGCAGGTCTGCACACAAGCACGCCCGTGGCAGCTCTGGACGGCGACCTGGGGGAGCCTGTCGGCCGAGGCTCACCCGTAGTGTCTCGCTCAGTACGCGACGCTACATGGGACGGCCGGGTGACAGGGCAGCCGCAGTGGATGGACTCATTTAACACAAATGGGAAAAACCCAAGTTCCCCAACAGAGAATCAAAGGGAAAAGGAACCACCACCCCGCAGAAAAGCAAAGGGCGTAAGACAGCTCACAAGATACAAGCAGTTCTTCAGGGAAGGCTGCTCTCCTCCCTCCTAACGAGGCAAGCACGCAGGTCCCACTTTTCTCTCACACGGCCCCAGGCCCAAGGTTAGATGCTACTCAGCGCTGGGGGGTGCGGTGTTTGCTCCTGCACTCCAGGGGTAAAGGGAAAACCCCTTGGGAAGGCAATTTGTGATCAACGACATAATTTACAAATACACATCTTCAGACTTGACAATTCAGTTTTGGCAACTTTTACAGATAAATGAGAAAAGTTACGTCTGAGAAAATATGATAATTCACCGAAGGACTTTTTGAAAGAGCAGAACAAGTGAAACGCAGGTAAGAAACGTCCATGAAGAGGGAAGGTCAAGAAAACGACGGGACTGCACGCAGTTGCTACTCTTCACAAAGTACTGACCAGCACAGACATCTCTGCCATCAGCTCCATCGGGTGCACCTCTAACACGCCCTTCAGTCCTGAAGACCCCAAGTCTCCTCTGACCCAGGCCTGATCCCCTGGGTCCTCTGATCCTTGCCCAGGTCCCCTCGGCAACCTGGGGGTCAGACGCAGATTTCCGGATGTCCCTGGAGGGCGATCAGAGCTCTGATACATCCCGCTGCAGGCAGAATCAGCCTGCATGTCCCCGAGGCACCCTGGGGGGCGCACCAGAAGCACCGCCGGACAGCCTTTACTTTAGCAAAAGAACTACTGCCAGATCCCTTTAGATCGTTTGATTTCCATCTTTTGGGGCAAAGCCCCCTTTCTGAGAATCTGACCTAAGGTATGGAGACTCCACAGACAAAAGTCAGCAGTCAGGGTCAAGAAAGGAGATTAACTACTGTTACGGGCTGAACTGTGTCCCCCCCCAAATTCATACTGGAATCTAAAACCCCCCCAGACCTCAGAATGTGGCTGTATTTGGAAAGACAGCCTTTAGAGAGGTGATTCAGGTGCGATGTGGCTGTCCAGGTGGACCCCAATCCAGTGTGATGGGCACAAGAGGAAAACAGCACACAGAGGGATGACCATGTGAAGAGACAGCAAGAGGGTGGCCATCTACAAGCCACGCCCAGGAGAAACCAATCCTGCTGACACCCTGATCTTGGACCTCAGCCCCAGAACTGTGAGGACTAAATACCTGTTGCTGAAGCTGTGGTGTTCGTTACGGCAGCCCTGGCTGCCTCATCAGCCACCATCACCTGCCATCACTGTCGCGGGCCTGCCCTCCCCGCTCCCTACAGGTTGTGGAAGCAAAACCAAGGCTACCCGCAAGGATCCCTGTGGGGGAGCTCAGGGTCAGAAACCCCAACGTTCCCGGCAATGCTGAACCCCGAAAACACGGGACATCGTCTGTGCTCTAAGTGACCCGCTGATGTTCCGGCTACGTTGGCAGGAAGATGCTGCCTCACAGGTCTCTCCGGGTAAGGGTGACGTGAATTCACACCGGCAGGAAGGAGCAGTTCATCATCAATGATCCTGTGGCTACACGGCAACACACACTTAAAAGTCATTCTGGGGGGCTTCCCTGGTGGCGCAGTGGTTGAGAGTCCGCCTGCCGATGCAGGGGACACGGGTTCGTGCCCCGGTCTGGGAAGATCCCACATGCCGCGGAGCGGCTGGGCCCGTGAGCCATGGCCGCTGAGCCTGCGCGTCCGGAGCCTGTGCTCCGCAGTGGGAGAGGCCACAGCAGTGAGAGGCCCACGTACCGCAAAAAAAAAAAAAAAGTCATTCTGGGGCTGGAAACTGTAACTGACTGTGGGCGGTAGCTGGAGGGCGCGGGTGCAAGGAGATTCCCCGTACATCCTTTTAATTTTCTGTTTTAAGCTTTTAAAACATGACCATCTATTGCCCACCTAATACACAAAAACACGTATAAGGTAAAAACGAAGTCATGTTACTGGGCTTTATTTTTAACCTGACTGGAATCGAGGGCAGAGTGGGTACTCCTTGCTTTTGATGCCGCCTGGAATCTGGCTTTTCATCCTTCTCTTAGCAAATAAGATGAGATAAAAATCTTAGAAGTGTAGCTGTCCCAATACAGGTGTGAGTCGGCTACAACAGGAAATTCCTTGACCTTGGCCCTTCAGTAGTTAGAGCGTTATAACCGCACACATTTATCTCTGATTATGAAAGGGCAGTTAAACCCTGCAGCCCGCAGGGAGGCGAGAAGAAGGGGAAGGGCCGGCTCTGCTCCGTGTGGGTGTTTCCATCAATGTCAAAGAACAATCAAAATAAAGCCCGCCTGCACCCTCCTAAGGAAACAGAGAAGGTGCAAGTTAAGAGAGTATCAAAGCCAAAGGGCATTTACATCTGCCCCCAGCCGACTGTCAGCATCACCCACCTCCTCTCCAAAGACAAGGAAGCTCTCGGGAAGCGAGCGCTCAGAAAACCACAGTGCCCCCTCCCTTTGAGGAAATGATGGAGAGAGATGCAGGAGAAGAATAAAAAGTCGGAAGAGCATGCACAGGACTTTGCTGGGTAAGAGGAAACACCCAGGCCCAGTGACAGCTATGTTCTTGCTGAGTTACTGACATCACCTCCCATCAATGCTGAGCCCCCAGCCCTTGAGATACTCAAGTAAGTGCACCGACTTAAAAACTCACCAAGTTAAAACCGTGGCCCAGGGCTTCCCTGGTGGCGCAGTGGTTGAGAGTCCGCCTGCCGATGCAGGGGACGCGGGTTCGTGCCCGGGTCCGGGAAGATCTCACATGCCGCGGAGCGGCTGGGCCCGTGAGCCATGGCCGCTGAGCCTGCGCGTCCGGAGCCTGTGCTCCGCAACGGGAGAGGCCACAGCAGTGAGAGGCCCGCGTACCGCAAAAAAAAAAAAGAAAAACAAAAAAAAACGTCGCCCAGGTGCCTTAACTTACACGAAGCCCCCGACACACTCCCAGGGGGCATGCTGGCATTCTCTATTTCTGCCACCACAAGACTGGAGAAACAGTGTTTGGAAAGCACGACGGCACAGTGGCCAGGGGCACAGACTCTGTAGCCAGTGACCAGGACAGGGTCCAGCTGAGCTGAGTAACTGGAGCTGCTTCAAAGTTTCCTGAGCTGCGGTGTGGGTGAGAACACCGCCCCGCCCCGCGCCGCCGCACTCACGGGCCTGGTATGAGAATTAAATCAGTTAACACAAGTACAGCACTCGAAACGGCTCCTGGCACAGAACTGGTGCTCTGTGTTAGCTTCTTACACTATCGCTACTGTCACTATTGTTATTGGCATGCAAGTGTAAGCCGTGCGTTCAACAGCGTAATGATTCCACGTTAGCATTTCATACCTGACACTCAGACATTGCCATGGTTTTGTACGGAAAAGAATCAGACGCTTACTGTCATCAGTTAAAGCGAAATAGCTGCCGGACGTGGAGAAGGTGGACGCCAGAACCGTGTCACTCCCCTTATCCACGGGCTGTCCGTCCTCCCTGAGAAAGAGAGGGGGCAGGTCAGGCCTTACCTCAGCAAGTGAGCTGCGCCCTCCAGGCCAGCCCTGTACGTTTATAACGCGATCGGACGTGGAAAATGTGATGAGCTTCACGTAGCCAGAACATAAAACATATTAAGGGGACACGGAGAGGTTAAAGACCACTCTAATTTTTAAGGAGTAAAGCTAATTAAACAGAAAAGTCTCTCAGCATGCACACCAGAATCCCAAGGGCTGAGCTGCAAAGACCCTCAGGGGCCCACTCCCTCAAGGACATGAACTGATCTACAACTAGAGGCAGGGATCAAATCATATTAAGAAAAATAAAGTGGGCCCCAAGCCTGATTCTTCTAAAGAAAACCACCATACAGAACGACCATACTCTGAAAACAAACCTATGGCTACCAGGGGGGAAAGGTGGAGAGGGATAAACTGGGAGATTGGGATTGACATATACACACTACTATATATAAAATAGATAACTAATAAGGACCTACTGCAGAGCACAGGGAACTCTACTCAATATTCTGTAATGACCTATATGGGAAAAGAATCTAAAAAAGAGTGGATATATATATAGATGTACAGCTGATTCACTCTGCTGTACACCTGAAACACAACATTGTAAATCAACTATACTCCAATAAAAAATTTTTTGAAAACCATACTCTACTTTTATCTTTCAATTAGCTGAAGTTAATTTCATATACCTGCTTTCAATGCATTTAAAATTGCCCTGTTATTTCAAAGTGCCAATAAAATAGTTAACTACTGACAAAAACGAATTTAAAGTATTTTAAAAACTGCTAATATTCTTAATGATGAATTTGAAAGGTAGTTCCACATTTCTCTCCTGAGGTGGTCCCTGGTTTATCCACACAGCCGGGTAACAGAAATGAAGAATTCAGCAAATAAGACAACAGCTTACTCATTAGACTGAACGGTCCCATTATTCAAACCATGCATCAGCCCTGAAGAGGCTCCCCTACCATCTCACCCTTTATGCTCTTGTGCCTCCTTTTCTGCAGCACTGCAATCATATATGAAGAGGCTGTCATCATCACTAAAGAAAAAAATAACAAAAACATTTTAAAGGAAGCACTTCGGTAATTATAATGTTCATTTCTTTTTTTTTAACCTGGATCAAAACAGTATTTGCATACTCACTAAGGGTCTTATCCACAAGAAACTGTCTCCATAAGATATTTCAGGGAACAGTTAAGGAGCTTTATTTGCTTAACCTATTTATATTTGCCATACATAACTGATATGGTCTGTCCATAAAAGTCAGTTAAGTGAAATAAATGAAGACAAAAATTCAACTGGAAGTAATATACCGTTCTTTGATAACCAGAACATCAGTGCAAGATGGCTATGTAAGAACAAGTTATATTCTGATGTTATTGAGTTTTCAGAGGGTCTTTTGCACCCGTTTAAAACCGCCATTACTTGTTTAGAAAAATGTCTCATCTGCCCCAGAAAAGCTCCCATGGCTGCCAAGCATTTACCAGTACAGAAGCCGCCCACCTTCCCTATCAGACCCTGAGCTCCCCCTCCAGTGCCTGGCACAGAGAAGACATCGTGCAAATTTATAGCCTTTAAAGTGACTGCAGCCAAACTCTTTTCACGTGGCACACTGCAGCGCAGGAAGCCAAACAGTCCTCCAAGCCAGAAACTGTGCCAGCCAGCCACTAGATTTCCTCAAAAGGTATGGAATGAAGCAACCAGATGGAGTCTAATTTAGCCGTCTCTCACTGTGGCATGTGTTAGACCCCGAGGCTCTAAAACGAAATAACCTGGGCCAGACAACAGCTTTGTGAATAAATCTGTGAAATCTAAACTTAACATCTTATTGGATCTCTGAAACCAAACACTGAACAAAGAACACAGCGAGTATCTTTACATTTGAGAGACACATTGTTTCACGTATGGAAGAATCAAAACTACCCTGGGAAAGAAAACAGGGGCCGAAACTTACCACTACTAATATCCAAGAAGCTCCTGGGTCAAGACTATTCGATCAACAAACATTTACTGATTTAAAAATCCCGGGAACGATAAGGAAGGAGCGTGAAATTAGGGAAAGCAAAAGCAAGACCTTGTAATGGGCCACTAGGGAGGTGCGCGCAGTGGCTCTGGAGTACCCCCCGAGCGAGGAGGTGTCAGATAAAACCCTCCAGCCCCGAAGGGCAAGTAGGGCGGGGTCGAGGGATGCGGGCTGGGAGGAGGAAACAGGCACCTACGCAGGAAGAGGGAGGGGAGAGACGGGGTGCGCCGAACTTGGTGGCCGGGAGTAAAGCCCTCTCCCCAAGGGCTGCCTTCCACCCCTCTCTCCAGAGAGAGTCTGACCAGCGTCCCCCAGACCCCGCAGAGCCCGGAAGTGTTCCACCCCTCTCTCCAGAGAGGGTCTGACCAGCGTCCCCCGGACCCCGCAGAGCCCGGAAGTGTCTCGCGCCGAACCCTCAAAGAGCGCCGCAGACCCGCCGCGGAGGGCGCGGGGCCCTGGGCAGGCGGCTAGGGGACCCCTGGGCGGGTCTTGGGAGAAAGGCGCGGAGAGCGGACATTCCGCGGCGCAGGCACGCGGCCGGGCCCAGGTGGCAACGGAGAGCTCACAGGTAGTAGCGGGGCTCCCCGGGGTCACCCCAAGGCGGGTGCAACCCCGGATGTGCGGGAGAGCCGGGGTCTCAGGGCCCCGACGCGCGACCGCAGCCTTGGCTCCTGCTCCAGGCCCAGACCCCTCACCTGCTCGAAGTGGAGGTGGCCAGCAACCGGCTGCCGCCCCGCACCACCAACTCATTCCCGCACAGCGCCAGCCCTGCAGAACCCGCCATGTACCCACCCGCCGCGCGGCTACCCACGTGCGCCGCCTAGCGCCTCTTCCTGCCAGCGCCGAAAAGTGACGTCAGACGTAGACGCCGCGAGGAGACGTCATCCGGGCTGGCCCCGCGAACGCGCCAGCCCCGGGCATGCGCAGAAGGTGCATTATCCCTAAAACTCGCAAGCTAGCCTTCGCGCCTCTGGTGGCTTGGGGTCGGTTGCTGATCGCGTTTGTCCGGATGGAATACACTTGCTTGTTTAGTGTTCGTCTCATCCTCCAGACTGCATAAGGCCAGTTCTGGATCTTTCTCACGCTGTGGCCGGGCGACTTGGCCGGCCTGGTACCTACTTGGTCCTTCAAAAAGTGAGAGGGTCTGAGTTTGCCTCCAGGTCGAGGACACGGTGTCAGAGGTGGGCTCAGAGCTGAGGGACGATAAGCCAGACGCGCCCGAAACGCAAAGCCTCTGAACTGCTATATTTCAACCCAAGATAGGGCTCCTTTCCTGTGTTCTTATGCTCATGGAGTGGGTCACCAGGCATCAGTTATGCGGGATGATTTCTCGGGACTCTCCGCCCCCATATTCCACACTCTTCATCTAATCTCATAAATCCTCCTGGACGCCCCTTCTCTCCAGCTCCGTGGCCTCCGCCACGACACAGCCCACAGGAGTCTCACTGCTCACTGGTGTCACATCCGCCCTTGTCTCCCCGCCACCCCCACCTCATGCAGTTTCCACACTGAAGCCAGAGGGACCTTTTCAGAACACAGTTCCAATTCCCTGCTTAAAATCAACAAGTGGCTTCTCATTGTTCTCAGTACAGAAACCAAATCCTAATCTTCCACTATGAGACCAAGTGTGGTCTGCCTCCTAACGACTCTGCAGCCTCCTTCCCTACCAGGCCCGCTTCAGTCTCAGTGCTCTAGCCGTGACTACCCTTCCGTTCACTGGAACAATGGTTCTGCTAACCACAGGACCTTAGCGCGTGCTATTCTTTCCGCCTGAAATGTTCTCCCCACACCCTGTCTATGTCCCTAGTTAATTCCAGTCACTCAGTTTCATCACAGTGGAGTCATCACTTAATCAGGGAAGCCTCTCCTGACTTTCCATTATTTGCATCCACGGCACCGTGATAACTTGTTTAATGTCTGTCTCCAGACTACAAACGCCATGAAGGCAGGGACTGATGCCTACTAAATTGGCAAGTCACCGATCGATGCCCCAGCTTGCACCACAAAACCTGGCATGAAGTCAGTGCTCAATATTTGCTAAGTAAATAAATGGAACAACTAATTGGCAGTCTTAAAAGATCAGCTATTTTTGCATAAGACGAATTACGATAGGCATGAGGCATGGAAACTCTGCCTGACTCAGCCCCACCTCCAGTTTGATTCAAGGATGAATTGACACCCAGACTTAAAGCAGAATGCTTGGGAGACTTCCCTGGTGGTCCAGCGGTTAAGAATCAGCCTTCCAATGCAGGGGACTCAGGTTCGATCCCTGGTCGGGAAACTAAGATCCCACGTGCCGCGGAGCAACTAAGCCTGCGTGCCACACCTACTGAGCCTACGTGCCACCATGAGGAGCCCACGCGCTGCAGTGGAGATCCAACATGCCGCAATGGAGGATCCCCCGTGCCGCAACAAAGATCCCAAGGAAGAACCCGCGTGCCGCAGCTAAGACCCGCAGCCAAAAATAAAATAAATATTAAAAAAAAAAAAAAAGCAGAATGCTTGGGAAAAGCTGGGCTTCCTTTAAGGCAATGAGGTAAAAGGGGCTTTCATGGAGGCAGACTACGGAAGAGAGTCTGTATCACAGAACAGAGAACGCAGAGGGCTGGGGGCGGGAGGTTGGGGGTGGGGAGAAGGGGCAGGAGCTAAGCCGGAGACTCACATGAGATCATCGCAAGGGAGCTTCCAAGGAGGGATTGACGCTGGGCAGAAAGCAGAGGAAGCAGGAGGCTCCACAGTGTTTCTGAAGGTGAGTCGGCTATAAACATCATTTCTATTCAGCTAATCTAGCCGGTACAGTGAAAGTCCATACTTTCATGGTCTGGGGTATTTTTCAGGCCCGCAGGTGAATTTACAGTTTCTCTTCTGGGTGGGATAACAATACCAAGAGCACAGAGATCCTAGAAAGGGGCAGCCAGTCATCACAGGCTTGCAGGCAAATTTAACTTTCTTTACAATCGTGGTTTACATCGTTTTAAATGTTCTGTAACACACATTCTAACAGATACAATTAACCGTAATGTGCGTATTTAACCTGACCTTGGGGCTTCCCTGGTGGCGCAGTGGTTGAGAGTCCGCCTGCCGATGCAGGGGACACGGGTTCGTACCCCGGTCCGGGAAGATCCCACGTGCCGCGGAGCGGCTGGGCCCGTGAGCCATGGCCGCTGAGCCTGCGCGTCCCGCGTACCGCAAAAAAACAAACACACACTAAACTGACCTTGAAGCTTCCCTACTTTCATGTTATAGGTTACAACCTCGAGAAATAACTACAATTTTTTTGGAGTTGCACTATTCCTCTTAAGTCTTTATTATTTGTTATTTGGAGGAAAAATAATAAAGACTTAAGAGGAATCCTGCATTGTATCAAAAGCTATAAATGAAAACTTAAAGATCTGTACTTGACCATCAGATGTAAACAAAACTTAAGCATTTTGAAGTTTTTGAGTTGATAAATCACTTGCCTCATACTTTGAATTCTTATAGTACTTGTGCCAACAAGACTTATTTTCCTCAAGATTTTTTTCATCAAATTTCATGATAACATCTACCTTTTTAATTTTAATCAAATCTAATTGAAGGGGCTTCCCTGGTGGCGCAGGGGTTAAGAATCTGCCTGCCAATACAGGGTACACAGGTTTGAGCCCTGGTCCGGGAAGATCCCACCTGCCGCAGAGCAGCTAAGCCCGAGAGCCACAACTACTGAGCCCACGCACCTAGAGCCCGTGCTCCACGCACCTAGAGCCCGTCCTCCACAAAAAGAGAAGCCCCCGCGCACCGCAACAAAGAATAGCCCCCGCTCGTGGCAACTAGAGAAAGCCTGCGCGCGGCGGCGAAGACCCAATGCAGCCAAAAATCAATCAATTAATTAATTTTTTAAAAAGTTAAGAGAATAGATCTTGAAAGTTCTCATCACAAGAAAAAAAAGTTTGCAACTATGTGTGGTAATGAATTTTACCTAGACTTACTGTGGTCATGATTTCACAGTGTATACAAATACTGAATCATTATGTTGTACACCTGGAACTAATACAATGTTATACGTCAACTATATCTCAATAAAAAATAAAATAAAAATTGTACGGAAAAGAGAAGAAAAAAGAAAATGCTACATATATATATATACATATATATATGTATATATATAATTCAGCCATAAAAAAGAAGTAAATCCTGCCACTGCACCATTGCAACAACATGGATGAACCTAGAGGGCATGATTCTGTGTGAAATAAGACAGGCAGAAAAAGATGAATACTGTATAATCTTATTTATATGTGGAATAAAAAAACCAAACTCATAGAAACAGAGCAGATTGGCAGTTGACACGGACAGGGGTTGGAGTGGGGAATCAGGGGAAAATGGGTGAAGGTGGTCAAAGGCTACGAACCTCCAGTTATAAGATGAATAAACACTGGGCATGTAATGTACAACATGGTGACCATAGTTAGGAATATTGGATTGCATAATGGAAATTTAATAGAGTAGATCTTAAAAGTTCTCACCACACACACAAAAATTATACCTATGTGAGGCGAGGGGAGTGTTAACTAAACTTACTGTGGTAATAATTTGCAATATATACACTTGACCCTTGACCAACTCAGGGGTTAGGGGTGCCAACCCCTTGTGCAGTCGAAATGCATGTACTGCTATCTCTGCCTCAAAGGGCAGGAAGCTGACGCGGTTTGTTCCGAATCAGGACTCAAACCCCAGTTCTTTTGATTCCGCATATTGTGGTTGCTAATTGAACACAAACTTTTCCCTACACTTAGTTAATGTAAAGATCTGTAAAAGGAAAATGCAGGTACTATATTTATTGAAAAAGATACAGGTGTAAGTGGACCCATGCAGTTCAAAGCCTGTTGTTCAAAGGTCAACTGTACATACGTCAAATCATTACATTATTCACCTTAAACTTACACAATGTTTTGTCAATTATATCTCAATAAAGCTTAACAATTTTTTCCATTAAAAAAATAAAGTCACTCATAATCTCCCATTTGGTGTGGTTTTGACATATGTTATGGGTTGAATTGTGTTTCCCCCATATATACTGAAGCTATATGGAAGCCCTAAGCCCCAGGACCTCAGAATATGACCCTATTTGGAAAGAGGGTCTTTACAGAGGTAATCAAGTTATAATGAGGTCATCAGGGTGGGCCCTAATCCAATACGACTGGTGTCCTTATAATGGGGGAAATTTAGATACACAGACGTGCACAGAAGGAAGACTCAGTGAAGACACACGAGGAGTACGCCTTGTGGAAACAGAGGCAGAGACTGGACTGATGCAGCAGAAACCCAGGGACAGCAGGGACTGCTGGCCACCACAGCTAGGAAGAGGCAAGGAAAGACTCTACCCAGGATCTCAGGGGGCGCGTGGCCCTGCTGACGCCTCGATTCAGGACTCCAACCTCCAGGAAAAACTGTGAGACAATAAATTTCTGTTGTTTTAAGCCACCCAGTTTGTGGTCCTTTGTTACAGCAGCCCCTGCAGGCTACTACGACACGTGTTTTCATCTTGAGGACACTAGTATTATAACAACTAAGTTCTTAGTGGCAGCACTCAGCTTCTCGCTTAGTTGGTAGCGACCTTTGTCCATCAGACGCTTGGAAAGTCTCCAGTAACAGCCACTTGGTGAGGTGGGAGAAACGTGAAAGCAGATCTTCCAAGCTGGATGCAACTTTTATCCCAGTTGGTCCATCGAGAATGAGTTAGAGCATGCTTAGATATGCAGGATTCACATACACAGGACCTTGCTGGATAATCCTAGTCGTCACGTCAGTGTACAAGAAGACAGACTTTCTAGTAGCATCGTTGGAATCGACATCTTTTCCATGAAACAGTGGGCATCTAAAACGATCATATCAGGACTTCCCTGGTGGTCCAGTGGTTAAGACTCTGTGCTTCCACTGCAGGGGGCACGGGTTGGATCCCTGATTCGGGAACTAAGATCCCACATGATTCACGGCATGGTCAAAAAGTAAAAAAAGGAAAGAGAAAAGAAAACAATCTTATAACTTTGAAGCACCAAATGAAACAAAACATTTGTGGGGTTTTTTAACTCATCAAAATGCATTATGAAATATTTCTTACAAATCAAAACCATGCACATAAGAGAGCAAACACTCCTGTACCCCCAATGTACCTTAAGAACTAACCATTACAAATAGAACTGAAGCCCCAAGGCTCCCTTCCATTAGGCCTCACTCCAGTCTCCCAAATCCCCTCCAGAGGTAGCCCCTATCTGATGCTTTTGGGTGGCTTGTCCCTCTTGTTAATAAGTAGGAAACACTTTGTGTATTTTGGGTACCAATTCCTCACGAGTTAAATGATTTCCCGGTTTGTGGCTTGCCATTTCACTTTTTATAGTATCTTTTGCTAGAGAGAAATTTTAATTTTAGGGCTTGGCATGTCCTGGACCATGGGAGGTATGTGTATGTTTTAACCCCAGACTCAAGAGAGAATAGGCCTTGAGATATGTATCCCCACCTGAGATAGACACATTTCCTGTGGACTTTCTTTGCAGATTTTTTTGCTAGCGGGTGGCTTTGCCCAGGTTCACCCTGTCACTGAGGGGAGCTCTGCAAGGGCTTCCTCTGATGCTCTCCAGCCCACTCCCAAGTGTCCTCAGGGCCAAAGTCTTGTCTCCTCTTCTGATGTCAGTTAAACCAATGCTTTGGCTTTACTGAGATCAGCAGATGCTCCCAGGGCAGTGCTGGCTTCTTGGAGTTTCTGGCTTCTGTTTCTTGGCCCCTGGAGACACACACTTCCTGTGGTCCAGGACACTCCAGACTGTGAAAAACATGATCACACTCGACCAAGACAACCAGCACTAAGAAGGGTATGGCAAAACCCAAATCCACTCGGGAGGAACACACATTCAACCCGGAACTTGGGAATCCCCACAAAGAGCCCAGAAACACGAGCTCCCAGTACATCACTGCCCGGCAGTCATGAATAGGAGCCAGCAGAGGCCACGGAAAGCAGAACTGGCGTGAGAACGGAACCGGTCGTTTGAAATTATGCTTGTAATACTGTACCCAGCATTGCTACATGTTTTGTAACCCGAGGGTTCTTCATTACGTCTCGTGGCCACATACTGCCAGAAATAGAAGTCATTACATATGTTTTAAAACACAGTTTTAGGTACATCCAGTATAACTTCAACTTTATTTTCTTATTTTTTCTTTATGTAAAAGCTTTTAAATTTACTTTTCCTGTTTGCTAAGCAATCTGGTTTTTTTATTCGATTATTAAAAAGAAAATTATCTTACTAACTTAGTAAGGCATGCTATGTATGGTCATTCTAAACAATAGTTTTAAACTACACTGTTATCATATACACACTACTATACATAAAATAAACAACAAGGACCTACTGTATAGCACAGGGAACTATACTCAATATTTTGTAATAATCTATATGGGAAAAGACTGAAAAAAATATATATATATAACTGAATCACTTTGCTGTACCCCTGAAACTAACACAACATTGTAAATCAACTGTACTTCAATAAAAATAAATTTAAAAACTACACTGTTATTGAAAGCTTTGTTTTAAAAAAATCTTAATCTAAGACATAATTAAATCATCCTTATTTACATAGGATAATGCCATAATACATTTCCTTTGGGGCTTACGAAGTATGTACATATTAGCCCAGGATGCAGAGTGAGGTCATGCGTATGGAAGGTGTGATAGCTGAGTAGGTTAATTTTCCTCTTTGGCCCAAACACCTTTGAGTTCAGGACCCATCACTGGGTCCAAGTGATGCCCAAGTGATCCAGTTATCTTAAAAAGAAGTTTAATTCACCCTTGCTTGGGTGGGTGGTGGATTCCTAGTAGTTTAGACAGAATTTTATGTGATTCATTAAGGAATACAGACAAACACAAGTTTTTGAGGTTTTGCCTAAAAACGCTGGATCATCACTTGCTAGAACCTCAGGCACAGGTGACGGTGCCTGCAGAACGACTGGGGCAGAGAATTAACAACTGACGAACAATCCCCGCTGGCAGCGAAATCTAGCCTACACTTTTCCCGCTGACTGTGAAATAAGATATAATCTCCTCTCCACAAATACCTGTGAAACCACCGGCCCTTTCTCTGGCCCCTGCTTGATTTTTTTATTTCCTATTTGCCTCTTGCACTTGGCACTGTTGCTTCTGTTCCTTTTGGCCAAATGTCGTGCAGGCCTGCTTAACCTCCCCACCTGACTGCAGCAGCGTCCAAGGAGGTCCTGCTCCCCCCAGGCTTAGGTGCTGCTGCCAACTACAAATTGTCCCTTGCCATCTGCCTCTACAAAGATGAGGTCATCCTCCACTGCAGCCGCTCACCTTCTACACCCCCTGAAAGGAGCTCAGGGTGGAGATCAGGAATGAGGCCCTCTGTGCTCTGGGAGAAACTGGCAGAACAGGCCCTCAGATAGTTAGAGATTTGCAGCAGATGTTATGAGCCAAATATCTGGAAAAGCACTAAAATTACTCACGGTGACATCTGTTCCTCCTGATTAGCAGGATCTGAGGGTGGAGTTTTCCACCCTCTGATCTCGAAAGGTCATTCGTCCGACACCTGGCACGGGCCCAGGTTTAGGGTTGGTGATCCCAACCAGTCTTAGCCGGCTTGAACCGGACAGGAGCCCACCCCAAGTTCCTGAAAAACGGCGCGGCGGCCTGGGCGCTGGGTCACCGAAGTGGTCATTGAAAAACCACTAAAGTTCTTGAAAAACCACTAAAGCCTCCATTACTACAGTGACGCATAGGTCAGAGGTGTTATCTACAGGCGTGACTAAGGAGTCAGAAGTAATTAAGGTGAGCTTGGTCAGCGAAGGCACGTGAGAAGCAGAGTTTTTAGCGAGCTGTTCCTTTAGCTGCTGTTCTGTCAGACAAGCTCAGGTATTTCTGTTAGTCACCAGTTTCTGTTAATCCTATGCGGATGCTTTTTTAACCCTGGGGCACGGTTTCACGGGGTATCTGTTTTACCCATTTATCTGGCACTTGTGTGAGTCTCCAGCCTTAGCCACGGTGGGGGCCTCTCCCGCGTGGAGTTGAGGTGTGGGTATGCTCCTCTTGGTTGGAATGCTTCCCGGCACCGGGCATGAGCAGGAGCGGGGATTGAAGGCACGATCAATGGGGGAGAAGGAAGCCAATACCTAACCACACCTACTCCGTGTCTATGCCTAACTTGGGGGGAGTCTGCACCGCAAGTTATAAACACTCAAGTAAACTAAAGCTTGCACTTCTGATCTGTTTGGCTACGGGACTAGTGCGGTCACAGGCCAAAAGAGCGTCCACGGTCCCACCTGAGGCTGCCCTGCAGGGTGACCACAGGTGACCACTCCGGACGGAGTACAGGAAATGGCACCCACAATGATCACTTCGGTGACCCAGCGCCCAGGCCGCCGCGCCGTCCGGGTCCGCGAGCCCCAACCGCCAGTGATTGGTGGCTCTTCCCGGGGGCGTGGCCTCGAGGCGCAGCGCGGGGAACCTGGAGGCCGCCAGGATGCGCGCGCAGGACCTAGGCCGTGGTGCGCGTGCAGCAGCCGGAGCCCCCGCCCCGCCCCGTCCCTGCCTGTGATTGGCGCCTTCATCCTAGGGGGCGGGCCCTCAGGCGGCAGAGGGCGCGCTGCGGCCGCGTCTGTTAGGTGTGACCTTCTTCCGCCCGGCCTGTTCGCCGGCCCGCGCCCCCGTCATGGCCATGGCGGCCTCGTTTCTGCTGCGGCAAGGACTAGCCGGGGGGCTGAAGGTAAAGGGGGGCCGGGCCGGGCCGGCGCCCGGGAGCCCGCGGAGGGCGGGGCGAGGGCCGCGGCCCTGACGGTCACCTCCAGCCGTCCGGGGACGCCGCTGACCCCACTTCCTGGGCCGAGGAGAGGACGTCTGGTCGGGGGCCGGGCCCGGGGAGCGGCGAGGGTCCCGGCGACCCCGGCCACCGCTCCCTCTGGTCCTGGATCACCGGGAAGCTCCGGTGTGCGGTCCGGGCCTCCGACAGACGTGGGGGCCGCTGGTGCCCCGCGCCGAGCCCTGTCCGAACCCTTGAGGACAGTGTCTCTACTGCTTATTTAACCCGCGAGGAAATAAGGGCACTTTCAGGCACCTGGTTGACCCGGTAACTTACGAGGCAGCCATGTGAAGCCAGCTTAGGTTACCTCATCTGTGAATAAAAAGGAAGAAAGAAGGGCTTTCTCCATATAGGAAAAGCGAAGTCCCCTTCACTATCTTTAAAATTAAAAGGGGCTCTTATTACAAAAGCAAGAACTATTCGTGGCAAAATAAAGTACAGATGGTTGGAGGGGAGATCTGTTGTCAGAGAGGCCACTATTTACCTCTGCATATCTAGTCCCAGTTCATATTTTTTTAGCTTTCATGTATACATATACACACGTGCTGACGTCATAACCATAAGAAGCAAATGTTTCACTCTCATACGTGGGCTGTAGGCACCTCTCTTCTGTCTCCAGCATCTGGAACAGTGCCCAGCACATAGCAGCCCTTAGTAAATGTATGCTGAGTGAATTAACGCTCTGTAAAATGCTTTCCACTTACGATATATGGCAGGCAGTTTGGAAGCAACTATTATTCATCTACATTATTTTTCATGGCTAGATAGTGCTTCTACTTTATATTCTAAGTACAGGAAAACATTTTATGAAAAGAATCAGTACTTTGTAGGTTGATAGGTAATTGGAGAGTACAAAACAGTACGCTCAGGAGAAAGTCTGGTTGGAGAAATACCCAAATGCTAAGAGTGACTGTTCTTGAACTGAGGTGTTTTTTTCTTGCAGCTTTTTTAGTATTTTCCCAAATTTCCATAATACACATAGGTTAAGAGAATTGTAATAACTGTTAGAAATATGCCATATGTATGCAAAGCATTTATATGTCATAATAATACGTAATATTCATGTCGTAATAGCTGTTAAAAACGGTATCACTCTAAAATATTCGTATTTGTGCCATTCTTTTGTCAGACTGTGCTCCTAGAAGCAGGAGTGTTTCGAGGACTTGCTTCTACAGTTTCTCTCTCTGCAGAATCAGGAAAGAATGAAAAGGGATTGCCACCGAATCCCAAGAAGCAAAGTCCACCAAAAAGTAAGATTTTAGTGGTCGTTTTAAGGGAGACAGAATACAGAGTAAATCAGTCAGCTTCCCAAGCAGGAAAAGGAGTTTACTAGCTACATAATTGGACTCTTTGTTTCTAGCAGTGTCCAGGTTATAATCAGACATAGTATCTGTAACAGGCTTTAGACCAAACACATCAGTAACATAACAGTTAACTCTGTTAAGGCTGAACTCAACAATTAGCCCTGAACTGTTCTCTCTGTATTTTCTAAATGCCAGACTCCATGGATAGCAACGGGCTGCAGAGTATGCAGGCTCTGTGGCATTTAGGTGGCCCTAATACCGATCCCATACTCCTGTGAAGTAGCTGTGAACCCCTCCTTTTTTTTCTTCCCTGATTGTGACTTTTCAGTGTCTCTGGGACTTATCCGTAGTCTCCCAGGCTTTGCTTGGTCATAGCCCAGGATTGCAGGCATCCTTTTACGACTGTGGAGAGAGAGTTAGGAGTAGGTACCGTCTTCCATTATGACTCTGGTGAAGCATGATTCTAATCTGCTTCCAGCTCTGTCCACAGTCATTTTGACTTTTATCACCAGTTTTGACTTTTCCCCCTGAATCCAATGTAGTGTATCCTCATAGGAGGAGAGCAGGAAATGCAGCAGTGTAAACCTGGTTATAATCCAGGTCCACCACGTTTAGTCTTAACTGATGAAACCCTAGTTAACTCTTAATACATGCATATGATATATACAGTCTCTTTATAAAGCTTTGACTGTGTGGGGTTTAGAAGGATAATTGGAGTTTGTCTTGTTTTCATCAAAATATCATTTACTCAGTTTGAATGCTTGAAAAGCGTGTAGACACTTTTGTCCCCCTTCATCTGCCCACGGAGACATGGGCAGCCTATAAAACGTCCGCGCGCTGTTGAGAGAGCCAGCCACCCACTGCCTTTCACACGCCATCCATCCATGCTGAGCAGGTGTACCCTCCCTGTGGTGTCTACGTGCTCCCGTCCAAATTCAGCAGGAGCGTTGTTTTCTGTCCTGTACCTGCTGTGTTTTTAAAGCCAGAATTCCATTTTCATTTTCATCTGTACGTTTCTAAACAGGTATCTTAAACATAAGGACTCTTCTTTTTTCCAAAGATCCCCCTTTTTACAAACATGCTTCTGCATATGAGTGGAAATGGAATACTACATCCTGTGGCGGTTTGGGGTGCAGTTACGAGAAGGGAACACTGAGCTGGGAGTTGGCCTCGGGCTCATGTAGCTTCTGCCTCTGGGCGTGGCGGGCCCTGCCGCCCTCAGCGGGATCAGCATGCCAGTCTTGGCCTGGTCGATGTGAGACTGACGACCGGTGTGTCGTGTGTATGTGCTGTCAGGTGGGAGGACAGTTTTTAGAGCTACACCATCTTTAATGCACATTATGTTTGTATCTCAGAATTTAAAAAATAATTACAGTCCCTCCATGAAGAAAAAGAAATGATGCTTCTAAGTCAACACGTGCAGGCCTCAGTATTTCTCGCGAAGTGTCAGTGATTGGTGAGTGTAAGATACAGAAATGCTTTGGCCCGCCAGTGGCGCATTGCCACTGTGGGTGGTTTTGGAAGCTCGAGGGAAAGTTCCCTGCGTGCAGACCGGGCCCTGAGCGCTCACCCTTGGGTTCACATCTAGTCCGGGGATCTGCATCTGGGGTGAACATGCTCTCCATTGTTCCACCTGGGGCGCAGCTCATCGTAGCCAACGCTTCCTTCCTGAGGGGAGCTGCCAGCATGGCGAGCACAGACATCAGAATCCGGGTCTCCAAGTGGGTGCCTTCCCTGCACAGCTGCCTGGCTTGCCAGCTTTGATGTTCTGGTGAATTCCATCACTAGGCTGAATTTTGCAATAATCAGTAATAAACCATTGACAGAATAACTCCTATGTGGCTTTCTAAAGACTCTGTCAGGAAGCCAAAGTTCATTATCTGCTTCAAGCCCCTGTTCCAGTTTGAGAAACGAGGAATCTACGGAAATAGGAATTTGATGTATTTAATTCTAACCAATGTTGCTAGGCACTGTTTTAAGCACTCCATATCTCCCCTCCACACCTCGTGAGAAGGTACCATTAGTATCCCTGGGTTATAGATGAGAAAGTGGGTGGGGGACTCCTGAGCTGCCCAAGGTCACACAGATGTCGGTAGTGGAGCCCAGTCTGAGCCCAGGCAGTAAGTCCCCACAGCCCATATTTATAAGCAATGTGCTGTCTTGCCTCTGAAAAAGGTCTCGGTTCTCGCATGTTCATTAAAACCAAAACCAAAAAAAACAAAACAAAACTTTTTTTAATAGTAAAAAACATGTAAAAAGGTTTTAGTTACCATACAGAATTTGAATAACTAGTCTTTCACATCTTGTTGAAATGCACCTTTGTTTCTGAATGTGCTTTGTTTCTGAAATTAGTTTTGTGACCCACTGACAAGATGTGGCAGTATTGTAAGGCTGCTGACCTGTTTCAAACACCAAAGGCATTTTTCCTTTCAGTAGGGGACTACTAAAACGTTGAAGGTCATGCCCTCCCTTGCTTTTCAATGAGCAGGAAAGAAATTCAGGAAATTCAAATTGAGAGGAGATAGAGAAGCAATAGAGAACTCCTGTCTCTGCGCTGTCACTAGTGTTCGTAGACCTTTATTTACGTGGGTTGTGATGGTCTCTGAGGGTTCGAAACCGTCCCTGAAAGCCCCCCTCTTGTGCTGGGAGGGGTGTCTCCATGGCTAGTCTCACTTAAGTAGCTTTGTGTTTTCATATATTTATCTTTCAAGGAAAGTCACCCTGAAACTAAAACGTTTTCAGAGTATGCAGGCATCCCGCCTCTAGACACGCAAGAGGTTTCATGAAAACAAACAGGTAAAGTCATACTTATATTCAAAGTGAGAGCCATTGTTCCTGTACCCGATGGTTGTGTCTCCAGGTAACATCCTGCACTGTGAATGCAGGTGTGGTGTCCACACTGGCACTTTGGCACAGAGGTCACTGGTGGCAGCTACAGATCGTCGTGGCAGGCTTCCTGCTGAGTCACAGAGGACGCTGGGCCTGTGCTGCAGCAGGTCAGAGGTTGGCTCTTAATAAAAAGCAAATATGCTACTGAGGCTTATTCTATTAGCCTTTCCATGGAATTGTCCCAATAACTAAGCCTGAATAAAAGATATTTTAAAACATTAATATTCTTATTAACATTATATGTTAATGTTAATAAGAGCATTAATGTTCTTATGACATTAAATAAGACAGAAGTTTCCTTTTTCAAACAAAATAAACTATATCATTTGAAGTTTTCTTCCTGTTTTCAATAGGTGATAAACTCTAACGTTTTAATAACTTATTTACATTTTTAAAAATCTCCACAATAAATTT